GGGGGGGGGGGAGGTACGAAACATAACCTGGTCAGCAGGCGGTTTGCGGTTTGTGCCACGAGCTGGTCCGCGGCGACGGCTTTCGATCCAGATCCGTGGGTTTTACTCCACGACTTTCACTTATGGCCGTCGCTAACCGGTCAGACGTATCTGACCGGCCTTCCCCCTATCCGCCACCTGGGGACGGTTGGATACGGACCTTGATACCCTACAATATAAAAAATCTAATATTTATTTCTTGAGTAGGATTAAGTAAGGCCCAGTATTTTACGCCTAATTTGCATATTCAGATGATCATGATATACAGATAATACTCATAAATTTTGGTAGATAAGAAAATTATTTTATTAACAACTTTTGAAAGAAAAAAATGCTTTTTATTAGCTTGGAAAATAATACATACACATACGTGTACATTCTGGATTCAATTCAATAAAACTATCTTATTGTGGGTGTGGATAACTTATTATATTCTTATCCTTCTTGGGTCTCAGTCAAAGTGTGAAGTAAAAATTTTGAATATTGTTTATTTTATTACGTTTCGGCGAGACAGCAGCGCCATGATCAGATTTAAAATTTACACAAACTACAAACACTAATTCACAATTAACACATGTTGTACAAAACTATAATTTAGAAAGCGTTAAAACATTTATTAGTTTATTCATTTTTACACAAACTACGAACACCAATTTACCATTAAAACATGTTGTACAGAAACTATAATTTAGAAAGCGTTAAAACGAACTATTGAATGTTGTACAACATGTTTTAATTGTAAATTGGTGTTTGTAGTTTGTGTAAATTTTAAATCCGGTGATAGCGCTGTTGTCTCGCCGAAACGTAATGAAATAAACGATATTGAAAAATAACAATTGCACGCAGTCAGTAAAATAAACCAAAATAAAGGGGTACATAACACAAGGTGCCTAAAATATACCCTTAAATCGAAAACAAGGCCACACGCTTTCAACAATCACGTTATTTTATCAGGGCCGCCAAAAAATATCGCACAAAGAGTTAATATTCGTCAATAAATTAACGCAAGCACACAAAAGCACGAAACAAATAACGTACAAAAAACATAAAATTTGTGAAAAAAATTATAAACAACGATAACATAATAAAAATTTTCACAAGCAAAGGTTTAAAAGTAAGTAAATCAGTCTGGATTCCTTAAGATGTAGGTTTGCCGTTTCGATAGTAATCTAATTAATATATTTATATATTTTATTTTATTATTATA